CGCCCCCCCCCCCCTCCTCCATGCACATACACCCCAACATGGGACTCTCGGGGGGAGGTCAGTGTACCCCATGTGTGTCCCTGCCCCTCCCCCTCTCGTCTCTGCACATGACATATGAATATTAATCACCACACCTTTTATGTCATTACAGATGAAGGAAAGGATGGATCGCACCGCTTCACAGGCCCCACCCCTTTTATCTCTGCTCCAATAGGCATGTCACACCCCAGTGACATCAAATGTAAGAAGACCGGGTCATGATTTATTTCTTGTCATGTGACTCCTCCTACACTGTCTCCCTTTCCTGTCATGTGACTGCTTCCACGGTGCTGACTTGTCCTGTGACTCCTCCCACACTGTCACCCTTTCCTGTCATGTGACTGCTTCTACGGTGCGGATGTGTCTCATGTGACTCCTCCCACACCGTCACCCTTTCCTGTCATGTGACTGCTTCCACTTTGCTGACTTATCCCAGGTCATGTGACTCCTCCCACACTGTCACCCTTTCCTGTCATGTGACTGCTTCTACGGTGCGGACGTGTCACATGTGACTCCTCCCACACGTCACGCTTTCCTGTCATGTGACTGCTTTCTACGGTGCGGATGTGACTCCTCCCACACGGTCTCCCTTTCCTGTCATGTGACTGCTTCCACTGTGCTGACATTCACCCTATCCCATGTGACTCCTCCCTCTGTCCCACGACAGTCATGTGATCATCAGTTCCCATTGCTGTTTCTTCTATTTGCCCCGTAACCATGGCAACATTCCTCTTCCAGGGCTGGGATCCCCACTGCCTTCTCCTGTTTTGTCGCAGAGGGCGGAGTCTCAGTGTGATGTCATCGATGCAGCTCTGCCCCAGCCGTCGGGGGGCGCCCACGCTCTCCTCGATGGCATGTACACGGAATTATCACGCAGACCAGATGCTCAGCAGCTCCTCCTCCTGACCCGCCGGCGCCATCTTCTGACCTTGACCCGTCAGTTTGTGGTCCATCAGATGAGCCTCATGAGTTACATACATAATGTATGCGAGCTGTCACGTCAGAGCCCCCCAGTGCCGTCCAATATGGCCGCCGCGTGTGTGAGGCTGCGCAGAGTCACCTCGTACAGCGCGTTACTGCACAGAAGACTAAAGAGCGACCCCTGCCTGTACCCCATCCCCTCCACCTCCATGCTGGATGCCACCAGGAACATTCCCCGGGTCCTTCTCCTCATGGCGGTCAAAGCCACTCTCCTTACAGAGCAGTACATCCTCCATGTGCTGCACAGGGTGGCGCGAGTCCCGGCCGAGGTGACGGCAGACCTGTGCCGCTCTCTAACCACCTACAACCAGGTCGTGGCCGACCTATCCAAGCAAGCCGGCCGGTGGGCAGAACTTCGGCCATTTTGTCTGAGCCGGGTGTTGGAGGTCTTGGCGGAAGAGAGGGGCCGACCGCTGGCGGGGGAGTTCTGCTGCACGTGGTTCCAGGGCGGTCTGGAAGACACATTGAGGAGAGAGATGGAGGCCCACATGAACCAAGCTACAGACCCAGCCAATAGCCTGCAGGAGACGAGTCAGGTGGTCGCGGGTTTAGGGGTCATTGGCCAGGAGGACACATTGAGGAGAGAGATGGAGGCCCACATGAACCAAGCTACAGATCCAACTCTCAGGCCATCCAATAGTCTGCAGAAGACTAGTCGGGTGGTCCCGGGTCAGAGGTCATTCAGCAATCTGGGAGTTCTCGTCCAGGAGGATAGGAGTCAGGTGACCCCAGTTCTACAGATGCTGGTCGGCTTGGATCAGAAGGTGTGGAATAAAGTCCCGAGTGGATCAGAACCTGCTCTGTATGGTCAGTATTGTATCAGTCTGTGGCTGGCCCTCTACTCACAAGTCTTCCATGATGTCTCCTCTGGGATGAGGGGACCGCGGACACCACCAGGTCTGCTGCTGCTTCCCGAGAGGGTGTGTGCCCGTGCCGTGCAGATCCTGCGGGAGACTCTGATGTCAGGTATGTATAGGAGGTTGGTGGTGATGGGGGTTCTCCGTGGGTGGGGAGGGTGTTGTAGTTCCTGATCTCTAATGTCGTCTCTCAGAAGGTCTCCCGGAGCCGTGTGTCTCGCCGGGCCTCAGCCTCTGTCACCGCCTTCTTTGTATCCGGAGCCTCGTCGCCTGGGACAGCAGTAAGTACAGGTCATTATATCCATCCACCTTACAGAGCCAGGTCCTTCTCATGGTATGGGGATCACTGTGCCGGGTGAGGGGTCCTTCTCATGGTATGGGGATCACTGTGCCGGGTGAGGGGTCCTTCTCATTGTGTGGAGATCACTGTGCCGGGTGAGGGCTCCTTCTCATGGTATTGAGATCACTGTGCCGGGTGAGGGGTCCTTCTCATTGTATAGAGATCACTGTGCCGTGTGAGGGCTCCTTCTCATGGTATG